GACTTGTCACAACACAATCAGCAAGCAGTTTTTCTTTAACTTGACTTAAAGACCAATAACTAGCAGGAACAGTCTTTGGTTTTAGTGTGGTCTCCTGAGCTGACAGACACCAAGAGATACTGTGAAGAGCAGGCTCAGCGTCTGAAGGGGGCACAATCTGGATATAAACAAAACAAAACTTTTAAAAAGTACCCTACATTAAAATGAAAACTCCAGTGCTCGGTGCATCAAGCAGAGGGGAGCAGAGACACAGTCTGCCCTTCTAGGTGACGTGGCTCGAGCTTTGCAGGCAGAAGTCGCTCGGCGCTCCACTGGGTGTATAAGTAGAGATCAGAAACAGCGTCCGTCGTGCTGGACTTAGTAGAGCAGACAAAAAGGCATGATGAGGGGGGAAAAGCCCTTCTCTGCAAAGGACAGGGTTCAAAACCAGCTGGAAATATCTGCCAGGTGCTTCTCCCCAGTGAATGCTGCAATTCATGACTGCTAGTGGCTGCAGCTGCATTGCTGACAGAGCAGGAGCCAGGACAATAAGGTGCTGAACCCGGTTATCTGCAGAAGTCAAGGGAAGAACTAGATTTGCAGAGAAAAGTATAGAGTTCAGACAAATATGCTCAGGGTGTTCTGAATACTACCTTTTTCCTACAGTGTATTATTTATAATAGCACTTGCTTCGTTGTGGTTAGTGAAGTAAAATTTTAAGGCCTGCACAGTGCTACTGAGGTTTTGTTATCCGACCCCGGCTAAATACTAGACTGTCTCTAGTAGACAATCATATGAAAACAAATTCTATGAAAGGATCATCAGCAGACAATGGCGGAAAAAAACAAGCCTGCTTCTACGACCAACTACACACTGACGGGTTGACCTAGATGGCAGGAGATGACTCCTCTCAGATGCTAGGAACTGAGTGTCTCAGAATACAAAGACCTTGCTGTCATGGAAAACTAGACTCACACAGAGACCATGGGGGAAGTTACAGAGGACACACTCCAGAGCAGAAAGCACATGACTGTGAAAATGACACCTGGCTAGGTTAGGGTCTGCCACATCCTTATCTCTACCGCTGTGACTGGGGTTGGGGTTAAGGCTTTGAGGCATGACACTGCTACATAGTCCAATGGCCTCAAACTCCGGATCCTCTTGTTCCGGCCTGCAGAATTCACCATGACACTAAATGTGTTTCTATACTTGCTGGGAGGACGCTGCAGCACTCCTCGGGAAGTCAGGGTGACCAATGACACCGTTCAGACCTTTTTCACTAAACAGGAAAAATTATGTTATGCCTGAGTTTTCTTTTTGGAAAAGTTTGAACATCCAATCTTTAGCATCTGTACACTCAGGTAAGTAGCAGGCTTGTGTCCTTTTCTGTCCATTTTGCTGTGTTTTTAAGCTGATACTCAGTGTGGACACACACAGGATACCTGCTTGTCATCAGGAAATGCCTCACTTGATCCCGGGTGGTTCTGAATGGCGACTGTTAGTATGACCCCATACTGTCTGAGAGTGACTCTGCAATGACAGAATTACTCTCTTTATTTGGAGTGCCATTCAGTTCTGTCTGCATCTCTGTGGATGGCAGATTTCAAACCGCTTTCCCCATTCTGAAATAAAGTCAAAGAAACAAAGAAAATAAATCAGAAGCTGAACACCCTCAAGAGTAACTGATCTGAACTCGTCAGTGACAAAAACAATGTCCACTACGAATACAGACAAGCCACAAATGGAAAATACCTGCAGGATACATAGATGATAAGGAATCATGTGTAAAAGGCACAAGGAATTATTAAAGAAGGGCCAAGTAGTATTTTGTTTTTAGAGCAGGCAAGCCCGCGACGTGGCTCAGGGGAGAAGCTTCTCAGCACACAAAGGGTCAAATGGATCTGGTCAGACACTTAGCAAGGGAGACAACCAACCACAGTCAGGCGTAGGAAGAAATGCTGACGACCCTGCTGCACATCAGGACCACTAAGAATTACAAACGCAACAGCAACAAGATCCCACTACACATGTTACAGAATACTAAAATCCAGAATGTTGACAGTGCCAATGCAGGCATATATGAACCAAAAGGAGCCTTCACACAGCACTGGTGGAAATGCAAGTGGCATAGACACATTGCAACAAAGTCTGGTAGCACAAAGTTAAATATATTCTGACCATGTACACCAGCAATCCATATCAAACCTTAAGAATCCCAAGTCAGAAGCCGGGCGGTGGTGGCGCACGCTTTAATCCCAGCACTCAGGAAGCAGATGCAGGCGGATCTCCGATAGTTCAAGATCCAGCCTGGTATACCAAGCGAGTTCCAAGACAGGCTTCAAGACAATACAGAGAAATACTGTCTCAAAAAGCCAAAAAATAAAGAATCCCAAGTCAGGGGCTCGAGAGATGGCTCAGAGGTTAAGAGCACTGAATACTCTTCCAGAGGTCCTGAGTTCAATTCTCAGCAACCACATGGTGGCTCACAACCTATAATTCAATCTGGTGTCCTCTTCTGGAATATAGGCAGAACACTGTATATATAATAAATAAGTTTAAAAAAGAAAAAGAATCCCAAGTCAGGAAGCAGAAACAGAAAGATCCTTGACTTCAAGGCCAGCCTAGGCTGCATGAATAAAATAAATAATCCCTGAGCAGAGGTGTAAACAATATTATTCATAATTGAGGCAATGAGCTATTTTCAGAGCTGAATGCAAAATGCAGAACTATTTACTGGTAAAAAAGACAGAACTGGGCAATCTAACCATAAGACTTGGGGAGTCTTGAACAACAACTGGCTAATAGGCAAGTGCGATCACTCTGAAGGATATTTGCCCATGAGATGACACCAACTACAGTGCACTCTGGAAAAGATGACCCTAAAAAGGGAGGAGGAGGAGGAAGGAAGAAGCGCAGTGGAGAGGGGCGGAACACAGGGGTCCTCTAGGACAATGAATGAACTCTACATGGCACTAGTGCTGGGCAACCGGCATACACAGCTGTTAGAACACAGACATATGTGAACAACAGTGAACCTTAGCTAGTGTAAAGCAGGACACATCTAGTAAGAGTGGCTCAGCAATCCTGGCAACTGCAGGCAACAGAGTCAGACTCTAACGGGGACTCCAGACGGTTCATTGTCTGTAGAGTGGATAAAGCATTCCACAAGTGAAGATCTACTAATGTCTTTAAGATCCATTCACACCATGCTAACTCACCAAAGGAGTCATTAAGTTAAACTTCACTTTAAAAGCAGCCACAGTCAGGAGAGAAATTGGGGACCAGATGACGAGCACACAGTGACAGAGGCTAGTCAGCCTGGTGAGTGGACACAGGCAAGAGTCCTGGCAGAGTCTGTTGGATAGCGGGAAGATGTGTGTGGGTGCGGTAGGACATGACTTAATACTGTGATTAGGTAGGAAACCCCCATGCTCCTAGTGTCATGATTCTGAACTGAGTGTGCAGGAGACACTACGCTCCACTGCGCACACACAGTACACAGTGAGGTGTTGCCGTTCTGCCTATCTACTACAGCACCCCAAAGCCCAAAGCTGGATCCCAACAAGATTGGTAAAGGCACAAATGCCCCTCATCAGAGCAGTTAAGAACAGAAGAGGGAAAGCCTGTGTGCTCGGCCCCAAGGAGGAAAGGCATATGCCACCACCGCTACCCAGACAAACACCGTGGCAAGGGATATTTTGAGCAACAAGTGTCAACAAATGCAAAGGCTTCGTTGAAAAGGTTAGAAGACATGAACACACACTTGTAGCCATGAAAGGCACCAAAGTAGGCGGCCAGAGACTTCACAACAATCCAGCCTGGAAACTTACAAGTACAGAAGCAAAGTTCCCTATTCATTTTCTCAGGCCACAGAATATTGGTTACTCAAGCCAGACAGAAAAGAGAGAGAGAAATCCACAAAGAGCCCAACAAGGAAGGAACACAGATTTAAAACACATATCAGCAAGCTGAATAAAACCATGTGTGAAGCAGATGATTCACAGCGACAAGTCAGTCTTCCGGGGACAGGTGTGCAGCACTTAACAGGTGTGCAGCACATGATAGGGTCACGTGCTACCACGCAGCACTGCAGAAAAAGCATGCTGCCAATCTTAACAGAAATAATCAAAACAATGACTTTAGAAAAGTCAACATCTCCTCATAATTAAAAACAAAACAAGTAGGAATAGATCTTTTTTAATCTAACACACACCACAACAAAGGCTTCGGAAGAATCAACAATCACCCATGAGTCCGGACACACAAGCAGGAAAGCTCTTAAGCTGATAAATATTTGTTCCCCCTGGCAGTGGTGGTGCACGCTTTTAATCCCAGCACTTGGGAGGCAGAGGTAGGTGGATATCTGTGAATTCCAGGCGACTCTGGTCTACAAAGAAAGCCACCTAAACAGCCAGGACTTTTACTCACAGAAACCCTGTCTCAAAAAAACTTACTTTTGCTGGCTCCCAAAATTCAGAGCTCACATACCTCCAGAGCCACCTGTCAGCACAACAGAGAAGTGAGGTCCGTGTGCCTGGCTGCTCTACACAGCATAAACATCTGCCCCACAGCATAAACATCTGCCCCACAGAGCATGTGACACCCACTCCTCAGTCCAGGTTGGGGCAGAAGTGCTCCCTCCCCTCCTCATTTAATCTCTGATTCAAGCTTTGACCCTCAGAAAGGCTGAGGGGGCAGCTGGGCATCAGCTCTTTAGAATACCTACCACACCTTCACTTGTAAGGAATTATTGGTTCTCCAGCACTCGGGAACCAGAGAGCACTGCCGCTGTTCCCACTGCAAAGACTGCCCCTGAGGTCCACTCGTGATGAGCATCTGCCTCTTACTGAGGAAGCATGTCCACACCACAGATTTATGAGTCTTTCATCAATACGCCCTCCAAAAGAACCGGCTCCTCTGCCTGATCATCCTCAAGAGGTCTGGCTGCTGGCCTGTTGCATGTCATGTGTCATGTGTCAGGTCTTCTGGGGAAGGAGAGTGGGGGCTGAGGGCGGGCCTACCTTGTTGAAGACCCAGACCTCTCCATTCACTGTGGGCCTGGGCACCCCGTGGCCATTATAGTGGAAGAGGACCCGCTCCTCCTTGGCGTTCCGGCGCAGGGACGTGCAAAGCTTCTTTACTTCATCCACAGTGGGGTCCAGGCTCTGCTTGTACCGGGCCTGTGGTGGAAAGAGAAAGGAGATACTTGTCACGCACTGGGAAGGGCCAGAGCTAATTTACGCGGAGCAGTTGCGAGGCCTTGCATGAGTGGCTCTAAGCTTTTACATTAAAAGTGAGCACCAGTTAAGAGCATATGGTCGTGTGGTTCACTAAAAACAACTATAACATTCGACATGAATTAAAGACAGCCTGTCACATGTCGAACACAAGGGACCCTTCTTGAGACCTGAGAACATGCAGCATAGAGAGCTTACTCAAACAAGGGCCTGAGGGGCACACAGCAGCAAGGGCAAAGCTATAGAGAGACAGAAGCCGTGTCTGACTCCACAGCCCTCTTCCGTTGCTCAGTGGACACTGAATGTCTAGTGACAAGACTTTGAAATGAACACCAGGGTCTTTACAGACACAAACAACAAACAGAGATGACTAAGGAAATCCCAGTAACAAAACAACGGGAGGAACCTGTAGAACCTCACTGCAGGGAAACATAGAGACATGGGACTTGAACCTACTGCGGCAGACACTCAGCAATCCCAGAGCCAGTGCCACATTCAGTGCAACCCCAGGAAACTTCTAGAAAAGTATATGTGACAATAAACAAGCTGCCATGGGAACCCACACAAGAGAAAAGACATCAAGAGAAAACCCACGGTTGGTGTGGAAAAGCCTCCCAGACACCCCAAAACACCCCAGCAGGGTATCTAATTAAGACAACCCAGGAAGCACACACAAGCATGCTAGACAACAGGAAGTGGTAGGGAGGGGCTTGAAAAATTCAAGCACACTAGAGTTGGAGCCACACACCTGGGCTAAAATTTTCTGAAAGCTGATTTGTTAAAACTTGGGCTAACTTGCAGGTGAAAAGGGTTGGGGGCAGGGCAGAGATACGTCTGGCAATGTGCTGAGGGTGTTGAAGCAATGATGGGAACGAGGGTCTCTGGTTCCCCTCCCCTGACTTTGTGCCTCACACGCTACTAGGGATTTGCCTAGTTAAGGACTTTAGAGAACAGAGTCAGGTATGGCAGGGGATTCTGGAGCACACCAAATAGTTCCAGGCACCAGGACGATGCTCTATAAACTGTGGAACCTACTAGAAAAATAGTGAAAGGCTTTTGCCTGTAGGTGGACATTATGATCTGAACCTAAAAGGTAGCGTGTACGGTTCCATACAACGCAGCTCAGTAGACTTGCATTGCTAGATTTCAAAGAAGTAACATAACGAACGGCAACTCCGCCAGCAGCAGCTTTATTGTTTTGAATGTGCCTTGGTTATCCTGGGTCCTGGTGTTTCCAAATGAATTTTGAAATTGCCTTTTAAATTTTTGTGAAAAAGTGCACTGGAATTTGGGTGGGAACTGCACTGAATCCGCAGATTGCTTTTGTCAGGATGGCCATTTTCACCATAGTAATCCAAGCAATCTGTCAGTGTGGGGGTTCTTCCATCTTCTGGTAAATTCTTCAGTTTCTTTCTCCAGTGTCTTACAGTTTTCATTGTACAAGCTAGATTTCATTTCCTATTTAGATGCAGTTCAAGGTTTGGGTATCTGTTGTTGCTGTTTTAATATATGATGATTTCTTCCCTGCTATGTTCTTAGCATATAGGAAAGTGACGGAGTTCTCTGTGTTAATTTTGTATCCTGCCTCTCTGCTGAAGATATTTTCGACTGTCACTTCTGGTTATCTTCCAGAATGATAGGTGAGGCCCTACTGCTGCAGCTACACACCTGACTCACAGAACACGGAGAAAGCAAGGCGGATGCTTCATCCCCACCCTCTAGGATTCCAAAGAGAAAGAACTCAACAGTCTTATACAGCTGTGAGCCCTGCAAGCTACAAAGACACTCTCTTGACAAGATACCCAGTGGCACTCACGAATTTTCTATGTATGAATGCTATGTTTTTGATTGGATTTAAAATCCACCCTATGTTTGGCGCCATTAGTTAGATAAAACTCCATGGCTGGCTAGGTCACGGGCCGGCCCTACTGAAGAGCCTACTGCTGCTCTGCTCTCTAAGTTCTTGTCTTTATATCCACACATTACTGCGTTTCTCAACTGTCATCAGAGAAGTCCCTTTTGCAATAGATAGCAATTAATGCTGCTGATGCTCAGAGAGTAACAGAATGTGGAATGCTCAGCTCCAAGTGGGACATCTATATCACACACATTCCCTCTCTCCAAGGCTCAAGGATCTTTGAGGGAAAAAAATCTTAAGCAGCAAAAAAAAAAAATAGAGATCTGAAGCAAAATATATTTGCTGGGCATGACAATGAAGGAGCACATGTAAGTTCACAGGGGCTCAGGCTACCGGACGAGACCTGCAATATGAATGAGGCCAGCCAAAGTCCCCCCATGGATGGGGAGGAGCTCAGTAAGTCCTACCCCTATCTGAGGAGCTCTGGGCAATTGACAGCTGATAGAAAAGAAAGAATCCATTTTTTAAAGGATGTAGGCCAAGAACCTACCAATTCTCTAAACTCACGCACATACAAGAAACACAAACTGGACTCAGTCGGCATGTGAGGGGAAGAAAAAAAGAGCAAATGAAGTTGGAAGGGAAAGGCAGTGGGAGGGAAGGAATTGGATGGAAAGATATGGTGGGAGGCAGATTTGGTCAAAACATATTATATGCGTGTATAAATGAATATAATGATAAGAGCTGTGCACTCTGGTTCGCTTCTTTATCTCAGCATTCAGGAGACTTATGTAAAGGGAGCTCAAGTTCAAGACCAGCCTGGGCTACACAACAAAATCCTGCATCTAAACAAACAAACAAACAAACAAATAAATAAACACACACACACACACACACACACACACACAAAATCGTTCACTTGGCCTGTTAGAACTCCATGTGTCAGAACTACAAGTTAAGAAACAGTCAACCTTCTGTGACAGGGAAAAATCACAGCTGTGGCCTTTAAAGACAGTAGGAAGAGACTCGTGGACCAGGAGCTGAGTCACTAAAGGCAAAGTCCCTCTCCAGTCCTAGCGTGGAGTCTCTGGAGAAAACCACATGAAAGTGAACGGACCACTTTGCAGGTTCCGAACTTGAGAAGCATTTGAGGAGAGCCCTCGGAGTTTCTGAGATGGCAATTGACCGGCACTTCACTGAGCCACACACACAGTCCTTCCAAGACCGCTTAGCAGACTACTTCAGTCAACATCGAGCCATGACAGAGGCTGAAGTCACTACTGCAAACAACTAAGTCAACAACAGACTCCACCAGTTAGTTGTTAAAGAGAAATGAACTGACAGCTCAGGGAGCCATGTAGTCCGTGGAGTGTGCGGAAGCTTCGGGAGGCGGCCCCTGTGCCACACAAAGCCCACACGGGGGTCAGTGCAGCTTCTCTCAAGGCTTCCTCACAAGACCAGAGTACAGCTCATAAAACAAAATGGACGGTATCACTAACTCGGGCCTGCAGGAAAGCTAACCCACAGTGAAGGTCCCGAGCCCATGCCCAACTCCCTGACACCCACACTCGGAGAGGCTCCACTCAAACAAGGCTGAAGCTTCCAAAGGAAAGGGTCCCCCGAGGAGTGTAATATGGAGGGCAGGGATGCTGATGCAGGCCTAGGCAGGGGGCATCACTGCCTGGGAGGCCTCCAGCCATGGCTTCTGCATGTTTGCACAGCCTGGCCTCTCCTGAGCCGCTCTGTAGGGCATGTCGCACTATCAATACTTACAATTCAGGGTGCGTCCTTCAGTCCAGAGCCTGTACTTGCCCTCTCTACAGCTTGAATGACATACTACTAACAGCTAGGATGCTCAGTGACACCAGATTGTTAGTGACATTAATTACTATAATTAGTAAAGGAACAAATCAAAATGATGAGATGCTATCTGACCTCAAAGTGACACAAGCGAATGTCAGCAGCAGGCTGTGAAGTGCTATGGGAGGGGCCCTTGGGTCCTGGGCAGTGCAGAGCCTGTCGGGGAGCACACAGTGGTAGAGCCAGTGTTCACGGCCCCCGTTTTCCCAAGAGCTAAGGATGGTGGAGTCACCCTCGGCTCATCTCTGAGTTTCCTTGTGTCCTGAGTGACACTGCTATTCTCAACACTGTCGTAGATGTTCTTGACACTCCCAAGACTGCCAATAAAGTTTACCTTGAACCGGAGGGTGGAGCTAGCTACTAGCTGACTAAAATCAGCCACACAGGTTTTTAAAGGACCCAGAACACTAGACAACAGGAAGTGGTAGGGAGGGGCTTGAAAAATTCAAGGTCTTTGGGGTTGAAGAAGGAGAGAGAGGAGGTCACTGGTTGTTTCTGTTCTACTTCTCTGATCAATCAGATTTTAATAGAGTAATTTAGATAATCATTAAGCTTGGTATCCAACGCCCAGAACGTAAATCCACATAGTGCCTAAAACAGCTGAAACTACAACAACAACAACAACAAAATCCAAGTAGGCTCCTCAGTGCTTGCTGCACACAGAGGCAGGCCTCTTGGGAGGGGCCCGGCCACTGAGCACTTGAAAGGGGTCTATGAGCAGCAGTGGCTGTCGTGCTACTAGAGGAGACCAGGCCAGGCTGCAGGCACGAGGCTCTGCAATCACCCATTTATCGTGTCTAACCCAGTCTCAGAGCTGTTCCCATACAAAAGAATCACTGCATACATCACCTGTCTTGCAGTATTTCTTGTTTTCTTATTTTATTTTTCCTTCATGTCTGTAGCCAAGATTTTTCAGGAAGTCTACCATAGTCAAATCTGGTTTTTATTAATTTTGAAGAAATCCACAGGGTTTTTTTGTTGTTGTTGTTTTATTTGTTTCTTGTGGAAACAAAAGCGAATCATTTCCCCCAATGCAATATATTTTCTGACTTCCATTTTGAAGAAAAGACATTTTAAATATAAATAGGTTAGTTTAATTTAGCAATTTCAATCATCCAATGCCTCTCAGCAGCTTTTGTTTTTTGTTCGCTAACATTTAAAACATTCAAAAACAAAGCACCATACAGGATCCAGAAACATTGTGTATTTCCCATCTAAAAATGGC